TATATATATATATATATATTCAAACAATAATAATCTTCAAATAACAAAACAAAAAAATAATGGTGATGGACAAACTTCTAATCAGAAAAAAGACAAACTTGTCCAGAACTGTTACACTCAAAAAATTGGGATTTAATGCCTAAAACATCAATTTGTTGTGCATTAATTTCACTAAGAATATAAGCTATTAATTACTACAGTATCTCACAATATTTAATATATTTCCAGAGAAAATACCAGTACACAGTGATCGTATTAACAGCATTATGATATGAGTCATATAATCTCGAGGCAGACCTAATAACCTAATAATATAAAAACAACATATTGTTACTCATAATACAGTTGGGTCAAGCCCCCTCATGTCTAACCACCTGGTAAACAAACAGTTCCTGATCCGGCCTGTCGTCTTCAGTTATCCCTTCTRTAAAATCTTTTGGACAGAACTCCTTCAGTCACACTGGAGCTAAAGTGTGGATGTTCTCCAGAAGCGTAATACATTTAAATCTGACGTCAAAGATTTTCCACTCAACTGTCTTTGTGAAGAACTTTCATTATGCCATAAATTATAAGTCTTTTTTTCCTTGTTACATCATTACCATATTGATTTTCTGTATTTATTTTGCTCTTTTCCTTCTTACCCAAGTGTTTTTTCTTAAACTTTCTCTTTATTTTTTGTATTGAACCACAATAAAAACAAGTGTTCTCACCTTCTGTTATCCAGTTATAATAGATGTGCTATCTATGCAATATATCAATCAACTGAGTATAAAACATCCTTCATGGACACATCATAATGGTATAACTTTCCTGAAATTAAATCCCTCACTTATTTAAAACATATAAAAGATTAAAAGTTGCACAGTGTTTGTTTTTAGGAGCAATTAAAAAAAAACATATCGGCCAAAATTAATCATGAAAAGCATTTTAAATGTACAGTAGTGTGTTTGGATCGAGCTCATACAGTATTGGCTTCAGATTAACCTGTTGTGGAAAAAAACTTTCTTGGAGTGACCTGATATGTTTCCACTGAGTAAATTCGGCTGACCTTTTCTAATTGATTACTTAAACGACTGTGATGAGATTTCTGTCTTAGAGGAGGTTAGTTGCCTGCGATGGGTYGGTACAGACAGCACAACGTTAATCCAATGTGTGGGGAACGTGAATAAATCTGACCCCTGACAGTTCACCTTCCATCTGAAGATGTGACAGATGGTGCATCGGTAACACGCAGAACTTGATCTTCAACATAAGTCGTCCCTCCCTGTCCAGATAAAAAAAACAGTGCTGAAGCTTCATCAAGTAGCCCAACCCCGTGTCTCATTGTCACAATATTCAACCATCGTCTTCAGAATCCATGACGGGAGCGAGTTCTGGTGGTTTGGACACAGAACCAGTCGATTAAATTAGATCTTTATAGATTTGGCTATATGACATCTCTCCTACAGTTTGGTATCCTCCTCTGGTTGAAGAAGTGAAAACCTTAAATATTCGTTTTCCAAAGATACACTACATGTAAATTTAAAAATGAATGTTCATTTCATGGTTAATTTTGTCCGATGTGTACTGTATTTTAAATCAAAATAGCTCCTAAACAAACAATATTTTTGCTTTTAAGCTTTTCAATGATCGATGGTTCTCAAACTTTACAGCTTTTGACCCGGTAGCAGAGACCAGTGCCCCMAGTTATTTTTGGTTGATACCTTTTGGAATAAGAACAATTCCTGTCAGACAGCACTTTTCTGAGATGCTGCGTATCTTCTGCAGAACTCAACGATAAATTATTAAGASTCCTTTAATGATCAAAGGTATTTCTAATTTATAAAATACATTTTCCACATCAACACTTGGTGTCAGAAGTGGAATCACTTTGTAACAATGCTTCTTTTATCCGTTTTCAAGTTCACTAACTGCATGTTTTTTAACAATTCAGACCAAAAAATGTTTGTCAATTTTAAATGTAATTATTCTAAAAAAGTACTTTTAAAAACACCTCCTTGATGTTTCAGGACCCACAGTGGGTTCCTAACTTGAACTTTGGAAACCGATAATTTCAGGTCAGGTGCGATACACGTCATCAATTTTAAGGTTGATAGGAAAGATCAAACATTAAGTAGACCCTAATATGTTAAAACCGAAAAATTAGATTTAAAATCTTTATCAAATTCCCTTTCTAATGAAACYAATTTTATGAAAATGGGCCCAGTAGTTCCTGAGATAAATGGGGTTGAAAATGGGCAGACATATCTGTTTTAGCCATAAATCCCAACATTTGGGGCGACCATATCTCTTGAACCAGTGGTCTGATTGACCTAAAATTTGAGATCCAGAGCTGTGGGATCACCATTGACATACAGTATACGTCAAGTTTAATCAAAATCTAAGATGGTCGAGTTACATTTTCCTCCTTTTTTAAGGTGGTTTGACAGGAATGACCCAGCTAAATGAGGTAAATAGGCTAAGCGTAGACTTGATGAGAGGCAGAAAAATTAACTTTTTCCTGGACAATCATAAAGACAGATTAAAATTAAAATAAATAAATTAAAACACTTTTCAAGACTAGAGGTMTCCTACATGTTAAAGGAATTAGGGTGGTTCAGTAAGGGTGATAAGTAGCTGCCCAACTTGTTCGCTTGTCTGTCGGTCTGCAGAAAAGAAGTCCAAGAAAAGGTATTATGAGGAAGACGACGATGATGAAGAGGTGCCAGGTAACGAGTCTCAGGAGGCCGTGCCCGCCGCCGCAGGGAAGCAGGTGGACGAGTCGGACACAAAACGTGACGAGTACGGAGCCAAAGACTACCGCTCCCAGATGCAGCTGAAGAACGACCATTCCTCACGTCCGCTCTGGGTGGTAAGGAACTTTTTTTTTTGTTTGTTTTTGTTTCCATTGGTGGGCGTGGCTYTGCTAATCAGCTAACAGCTAATAGTAGAACTGATTTGTCATTTAACAGATTAGCTTTTCCACTAACTTTTAGCAGACCAACTGCGTTCCGTTTACATCGTATTCCCGGTGTTGTACGAATTTCAGTTCCCCTGTGAAAATATGTTCCCCCTAGTGGTTAACCTTAGAGAGAATCACTGGTCCAGGCATAACGTCAGACCAATCCTATGAGGGAGGCGCTTCGGAGGCGCATCCAACACAGGGGGGAACAGATTTTCACAGGGGAACTGAATTTCGTACAACACCGGAACTGGTAAATGGTAGTGATGTCATTTCCCAACAAGCCAAATGAAATTGAATTCCAGTTTGCCGACAGGTGATTGTATTGCTGCCGCTAACCTAGCTACAACACTGCTACAATGTAAACAATGACAAAAAGAGAGCTCTACTACATATGTCATGCAAAAAACATTGATTTTAATACGTACAGTATTGCACAGAAAACACAGTACTTGTGCGAGTGATTAAAAGTGCACAAAAAATTAAGCAAGATAATTAATAGTAAAAGTTACGGAGCTACTTTCTAAAGCTTCGAGTAGCCGCCATCTTGAAATCGAAACTGGGGGCAGTTTGATTTCTTCCACTTTACGAGTGGAATATTACCACTGGAGGGGGYGTTCCAGTTTAAATCTACCACTGGGAACTGGGAAATTACCACTTCCCAGGACTACTGGGATGCAGTCTGCTAACTGCTTACTAACAAGCTAACATCAACAGGTTTGTGTCCGTCCCACCAGTCTTCAGCTCAAAGTGGACGAAAACGTGAGACAGATTAAGGGACAGTCAAATTTGTGGTTAGCAGTTAATGTTAGCGTCTGCTAATTTATGAAGACGTGTGACGCAGACTGAGTGACGGTCGTATTAACTGTTAGCAGTTAGCATTTAGCCTCTGCTAATATGAAGATGTGTGATGCAGACTCAGTGACAGTTGCATTAGCGGTTAGCGGTTAGTGTTAGCTTCTGATAATTTTTGAAGACTTTTGATGCAGATTGTCAGTCGTCTTAGTGGTTAGCCATTATCGGTTAACGTTAGCTTCAGTCCATTTTTACTTGCTCAGCTGTTTAGCATTAGCTTYCWCTAATTTGATTTACATTTTAAGCRGTTTAGTTTTAGCGAATGTATATTTTCAGCTTCGCTAACTCGTAATCTGCTAACTAACTTGGTCAGCTGTGCCCACCACTGCTCTGTTCTTGTTCTTCTCCAGGCTCCAGACGGACACATCTTTTTGGAAGCCTTTTCTCCGGTGTATAAATACGCCCAGGACTTTTTAGTGGCCATCGCAGAGCCGGTGTGCAGGCCGAATCATGTCCACGAGTACAAGCTGACCGCGTACTCGCTGTACGCAGCTGTTAGCGTGGGGTTACAGACGTCTGATATTATCGAGTACCTGCAGAAGCTCAGCAAGACTTCTGTTCCTGATGGAATCGTCCAGTTTATTAAGGTTTCATTGATTTAAAATGTTATTTTAACGTTTTTAAACTCATTGTTTTTGCTTTTATTCACTCGTTTTATTGTTTTCAGCTTTGCACTGTGAGCTACGGGAAAGTCAAGCTTGTGCTCAAACACAACAGGTAAAATCACTCAGTGTTTTTTTTTGTTTTCACCTTCATTCTCACTTGTTTATTTTCTGTCACTCTCAGGTATTTTGTTGAAAGCACCTTCCCTGACGTGATCCAGCGCCTTCTGCAGGACAACGTGATCCGAGAATGTCGTCTGCGGGGTGCGGACGGAGGGGACACGGAGCTGATTACTGAAGTTATTCACAGCAAGTCAGCCGTACGCTCATCTCATTTTCTTTTCTTTAAATTATTTTATTTTGTTGCAAAGTGTGAAACAATCATTGTTTTTTTCCTGACAGATCTCTAAGTTTGTCCCAGATAAAGGAGGTCCTTCCACCTCGCAGCAGCTTGGTGATGGACAAACTTCAAACCAACAGGTCCCCGAGGACATCTTCAGCTACTATGAGCAGATGGATAAGGACGAAGAGGAAGAGGAGGAAACTCAGACCGTCTCCTTTGAAATTCGCCAGGTACGACTTTCAGCGTTTCCACAACTGGCTTCCACAAACCGTCGGGCTGATTACAGCTCATCTCTGCAGGAGATGATCGAGGAGCTACAGAAGCGCTGCATCCAGCTGGAGTACCCCCTCCTCGCTGAATACGACTTTCGAAACGACTCGGTCAACCCGGACATCAACATCGACCTGAAGCCCACCGCCGTGCTGCGACCGTACCAGGAGAAGAGTCTCCGCAAGATGTTTGGAAACGGCCGCGCTCGATCGGGAGTCATCGTGCTGCCGTGCGGTGAGAGAAACCATTCAGCGATTTAAAAAATGGAGAAATGACAAATTCTGATGAAATTGAGCATAACCGCCGAGAGACGSATGAAGTGTTTGAGCTAAAATGAGCATAATGCTAGCTAAATGTTTAGACAAAATTCTAGCTAACTGCTAATTGAAATAGAATGCTACCCAAAAGCTTWAAGGAGCATAATGCTAGTTAAAAGTTCAGAGAAACCATGTTAATTTAATTGTGCTAAATTAAGAACAATGCAAGCTAAAAGCAAAAAGTATCAAAATGCTAGCTAAATGCTAAGAGAAAAAGAATGCTACCCAAAAGCTACAAGTAGTGTAATGTTAGCTAAAATGTAAGGGAAACTATGATAGATAAAAAAAAATGTTATCTAAAAGCTTAAAGAGACAAAGTGCTAGCTAAAAACTAAGAAAGAAGCTGAATGCAAGCTAGAAGCTATAAAAACAAGTATGCTAGCTATAAGAAACTGAATGCAAGCTAAAAGAAAAAAGTATCAAAATACTATCTAAGCGCTCAGACACAAATGCTAGCTAAATGCTAAGAGAAAAAGAATGCTATCCAAAAGCTACAAGTAGTGTAATGTTAGCTAAAATGTAAGGGAAGCAATGATAGCTAAAAAATAATAATAATAACAAAATGTTATCTAAAAGCTTAAAGAGACAAAGTGTTAGCTAAAAACTAAGAGAAGCTGAATGCAAGCTAGAAGCTATAAAAACAAGTAAGCTAGCTATAAGAAACAATGCAAGCTAAAAGCAAAAAGTATCAAAACGCTMTCTAAGCGCTCAGACACAAATGCTAGCTAAATGCTAAGAGAAAAAGAATGCTACCCAAAAGCTACAAGTAGTATAATGTTAGCTAAAATGTAAGGGAAGCAATGATAGCTAAAAAAATGTTATCTAAAAGCTTAAAGAGACAAAGTGCTAGCTAAAAAATAAGAGAAGCTGAATGCAAGCTAGAAGCTATAAAAACAAGTATGCTAGYTATAAGAAACTGAATGCAAGCTAAAAGGCAAAAGTAGCAAAACACTAGGTAATAGTCAAATTAACTAAAGGCTAGCTAAAAGTAACAAAGGGCTTACTGAAAACATAAAAGCAAAAGGCTAACTAAAAGCTAAAACAGTAAAGCATTAGCTAATAGTAGCAAAAGGCCTCATTTGTTTCTTTGGGGAACATATGTTTAAATAAAGTTAAGTATTTTGAAAAGTCACAAAAACTAAACGTCTCAGTTCTGACTCTCAGGAGCGGGGAAGTCTCTGGTGGGCGTGACGGCAGCGTCCACGGTGCGAAAGCGCTGCCTGGTGCTGGGCAACTCCTCGGTGTCCGTGGAGCAGTGGAAGGCCCAGTTCAAGATGTGGTCCACCATCGACGACTCGCAGATCTGCCGCTTCACCTCCGACGCCAAGGACAAGCCCATCGGCTGCTCGGTGGCCATCAGCACCTACTCCATGCTGGGTCACACSACCAAGAGGTCCTGGGAGGCCGAGAAGGTCATGGAGTGGATGAGGAGCCAGGAGTGGGGACTCATGATCCTGGACGAGGTGCACACCATCCCCGGTGAGACGAAYCRAAACACGACACCTAGTTTTGTTTTGATGCAGCCGGACTGTGACGGTTCTTTAAATCTGTTGTTCTTTTTTTTTCAGCTAAGATGTTCCGCCGCGTCCTGACCATCGTCCAGGCTCACTGCAAACTGGGCCTCACCGCTACGCTGGTCAGGGARGACGACAAGATCGTGGACCTGAACTTCCTAATCGGGCCTAAACTGTATGAAGCCAACTGGATGGAGCTGCAGAACAACGGTTACATCGCCAAAGTCCAGTGTGCTGAGGTGAGTCTTCATCGCTTACAGACAGGAAGTTGTGTYRAAAACACAACAGCTGACGTGTCCGTGTTTGTGTTTTAGGTGTGGTGTCCGATGTCCCCGGAGTTTTACAGAGAATACGTGGCCATTCAGACCAAGAAGCGCATTCTGCTCTACACCATGAACCCCAACAAGTTCCGGGCCTGCCAGTTCCTCATTCGCTTCCACGAGCGGCGCAATGACAAGATCATCGTTTTCGCMGACAACGTGTTCGCCCTGAAGGAATACGCCATCCGCCTCAACAAGTAACGCMGTCAACCAGAAGGCTTTGTGAATATTTTAACACGGTAACTTTAAATCTGCTTGTTTTTATCTTCCATCCTCAGGCCGTACATCTACGGTCCCACCTCTCAGGGAGAACGGATGCAGATTTTACAGAATTTCAAACACAACCCCAAGATCAACACTATATTCATCTCCAAGGTACGGAGTGAAGCCAGAGGACACCTGGACCCAAACACTACAAGCTAAACAAAGCTTAACATAGCCAAACACAAAGTAAAACAAGTATAGCACACTAGCTTAAAGCTAAACAAAGCTAAACGTAGCAAGACGCAAAGTAAGACAAGTAGAATCCTAGCTGAAAGCTCAACTAAGCTAAGCTAAACGTAGCAAAACACAAAGTAAAACAAGTAGAGCACGCTAAACAAAGCTAAGCTAAAAGTAGTAAGACAAAGTAAAAAAAGTAGAACACTAGCTAAAAGCTAAATAAAGCTGAGCTAATAGCACAGCACTAATAAAAGCTAAACACAGCTAAGCTAATAGTACAGCGCTAACTAAAAGCYAAACAAAGCTAAGCTAAACATAGCAAGAAACAAAGTAAAACAAGTACAACACTAGTTAAAAGCTAAACAAAGCTAAGCTAAAAGGAATAAGTCAAAGTAAAACAAGTAGAATACTAGCTAAAAGCTAAATAAAGCTAAGCTAATAGCACAGCACTAACTAAAAGCTAAACAAAGCTAAGCTAATAGCACTGTACTAACTAAAAGTTAAACAAAGCTAAGCTAAAAGTAGTAAGACACAAAGTAAAACAAGTAGAATACTAGCTAAAAGCTAAACAAAACTAAGCTAATAGCACAGCACTTACTGAAAGCGAAACAAAGCTAAGCCAGTAGCACAGCACTAACTAAAAGCTAAACAAAGCTAAGCTAATAGTAGCAAAAAAAACAAACAAATTAAAACAAGTACAACACTAGCTAAAGGAAGTAGAAGACTAAAATGGGGTAAAAACACATGCTTAAAGCTAAACACTAGCTGAAAGGTGACATTAGCTAAATGCTAGCCAAAACCAGCAAATCATAGTTAAAGGGTAAAATTTGGAACACAAGCTAAAGGGGCAAACACAAGTTAAAAATAGTCAAACACTAGCTAARACAAGCTAACCCTAGCTAATAAAGAGCAGAACAGTAAAAGGTGTCTTTGAATGTGTGATCAGGTTGGAGACACTTCCTTCGACTTGCCAGAAGCCAACGTTCTGATCCAGATCTCCTCCCACGGCGGGTCTCGYCGACAGGAAGCTCAGAGACTTGGTCGAGTCCTGAGAGCGAAGAAAGGTTGGTCTCATAAAAACAGAAATAAACCGTCCAATCAGCGAAAGAAGACCTCACTCCTTCGTCTGCTCTGCTAGGGATGGTGGCCGAGGAGTACAACGCGTATTTCTACTCTCTGGTGTCCCAGGACACCCAGGAGATGGCGTATTCCACCAAGAGGCAGAGGTTCCTGGTGGACCAAGGCTACAGCTTTAAGGTTCACTCACTTCCTGTCCTCCTTCTACGTTTGTTTTCATGGTCTGAGCGTGTTCTCGTTCATGTTCTACAGGTGATCACAAAGTTAGCAGGTATGGAGGAGGAGAACCTGATGTTCTCCACCAGGGAGGACCAGCAGCAGCTGCTCCAGAAGGTCCTCTCTGCCTCAGACCTGGACGCCGAGGAGGAAGTGGTGGCGGGAGAAGTCGGCGTTCGACCGCAGGTGAGAACCAAAACACGGGACGGTTTTTCACATCCAGAAAATAAAGAGTCATCCAGGTTTTTATGKCTCTGAGACAAGTTTGTAATCTGAGGAACCGATTGAGTTCATCAGGGCTTTTATTGTGAAAAAAAACTGAAAGGTTTGATAAAAGATCGTCTTCCTTTTCCAGTTTTCGAGGCGAGCAGGCACCATGAGCTCCATGTCAGGCGCAGACGATGCCGTTTATATGGAGTATCAGAGCCGGGGCAGCAAAGCCTCAGCAGCTGGCAAAAGTGTTCACCCCCTCTTCAAACGCTTCAGGAAGTAGATCTGCTGAACCAAGATACTTCAAAATAAAACGTCTGTCAGCAGCATGAGAAGAAAAAAAACATTTTATGTTGAAGTGACTGAGTTTGAAGCCTTTCTGTTTGACTCTTGGCTTCTTGTTGTTTTTTGGGTCATGTTGGCCTCTTAAATATCAAACAAACCATTAAAAATCTGAAAGTGTGCTTTTATTTATGGAGTTTTTAAATAAAAAAAGACTGAATGAATCATAGTTTTGTCATTTTTAATTTTATTATTGTTCTCTTGCTCCTAATAAGCCTTTATTTTCTTGTTGTTGTTAGCTAGAGGCAGCAGAATGCTAAGCTTGATCTTGATCTTACTGCTGCATTTGATACAGTAGATCACGACATTTTAATATCAAGGCTGGAGACTTTGTTGGTATGAAAGGTACAGTTTTAAAATGGCTTAGATGCTACTTGTCTAACAGAAGCTTCTCGGTCCAGTTGGGACAGCTGTTTTCATCTGTTGCTCACCTTCAGTATGGAGTACCTCAAGGCTCCATATTAGGGCCAATTTTATTTTCATTGTACTTGCTCCCCCTGGGATCTATTTTTCGCAAATATAACGTGTCATACCATTTTTATGCTGATGACATTCAGGTCTATCTTCCATTAAGATCTAGCAGATCCCAGTCTGTAAATAGGTTACTTGAATGCTTAAAAGATGTGAGAGCATGGATGGACCTGAACTTTCTTTATCTTAATGATAAAAAGACAGAGGTCATTTTATTCGGTAACTCTGATAAACTGATAGGATGCAGTAGTGCTGTTGGACCACTGGACCCTTTGTCTGGCCGTGTGTCTGTTAGAAACCTTGGGGTGTTTTTGGATTCTGATTTTAAATTGAAAGAACAGGTCAGTGCAGTAGTCCAGTCTAGCTTTTATCATTTGAGACTGATAAGTAAAGTCAAGGATTACCTGCCTCATAATGCACTTGAGAGGGTAATTCATGCTTTTATCACTTCTAGACTGGACTACTGCAACTCTCTTTATTGTGGGATGGATCAGTCTTTGGTTCGTCGTCTACAGCTGGTTCAGAACTCAGCTGCCTGTTTATTAACAGGGACAAGACGTCGTGAACACATCACTCCAATTCTGAATTCTCTTCACTGGTTGCCTGTTTCTTTTAGAATTGTTTTTAAGATTTAGTTTTTAAATGTCTAAATGGTTTGGCACCTCATTATCTCACTGAGCTTTTACAGCCTCACATTCCAAATAGATTTCTGAGATCTGTAAATCAAAAGCTTTTGGTTGTTCCCAGGTCTCGGCTCGTGACCAGGGGAGACAGAGCCTTTTCAGTTGCAGGACCTCGGCTCTGGAACAACCTCCCACTGTCTGTGAGGTCTGCTGGGTCTCTAAATGAGTTTAAGTCTCTGTTAAAAACTCATCTGTTTAAACAGGCTGAAGAGTCTGAAGAGCAGGATCATTAGGCCAGCCTTTGCTGTTTTGTTTGATTTTATTGTTCATTTTATTACTGTACTTTGTTCTTTGTTTTTATTTCATGCACCTGTACAGCACTTTGGTTTTTATTGTGCTTTATAAATAAACGATGATGATGATGATGAAGCTAAAAGAAATAGATCACTGGCTAAAAGGTGAAAAAAGTTAGCTAAAAGTACCAAAAGTCTAGATAAATCGAGCAAAACAAAAAGTTAAAAAATTCAGATCATTAGCTACAATGAGCAAAACATCAGCTAAAAGCTAAACAAGCTATTCAAATGTTGAACTTGGACTTCAATATCTCTGTGTATAAAAATAGACTAAAAACCAACTTTTGATTTTGAAATGTTAAATTTGAGTGATTTTAAATTTATATAGATTTTTCTTATTTTTGTACGTGTTTTGATGTGTTTTTGTTTAAATCGAATTTTGATGATGGTTTTTGTATTGATATTTTTTTCCATTATTTTTATTTGAGTAGCTATTTTAATTTTATTTTATAGTTTTTTACTGTTGTGTTGTAGTCTGATTTGATTGGGAGTGGTTTTTACATAAGCCTATTCAAGCTTTTACCCTTCCCTTGCACCTGAAATATCTCTTTTTGAATTGTTGTCTTCTTTTTTTTTACTTTTTGCATTAAATCAAATAAAATCAAAGTAGAACAAGGGTTAGATCAAGACATAACAATCTAGTAAAAGCTTAGGAATCTTAACACTAGCTAAAAGAATTGGAAAACTAGCTAAATGGTAAAATGTTAAAAAGGAAAAATATTAGCTAAAGCTATCAAGAGGCTGTCTAAAACTAGCAAAACACTAATTAAAAGATAAAAAGCACAACACTAGCTAAATGGAACAAATCATTACCTAAAATCTAAAAGGATCAAAGCACTAAAAGCAAAAGGTTAAAATAGCAAGACACAAGGCAAAATTAGCATAAAACTAGCCTAAACATTAGCTTAAAGCTTTAAACAGCAGAATGCTAACTTTAAGGAGCAAAACTCTAGCTGAAAGGTTAAAAATGAGAAATGTTAGCGGAAACTAGCAAAACTCCAGTACAAAGGTAAAACAGCAGAACACTAACAAATAGAGCATCGCTTTAGCTAAAAGAACCAAATCAAAAACTAAACTAAGCCAAATCTAAGCTAAAAGTAGAAAAATGCAAGGTAAAAAGTACAACATTAGCTAATTATTAGCTAAAACTAACAAAGCACAACAAAAAGGTAAAAAAAACTCTAGCTGAAAGGAGCAAAGCTAATAACTAAAAGGACCTAAGCACTTACTAAAAGCTAAACGAAGCCAAATGTCAACTAAAAGTAGCAAAATGCTAAGTAAAACAAGTAGAACATTAGCTAAAACAATCAGAACATTAGCTAAAACGTTTAGCAGCATAATGGTTAGCTCTGGTGCCACATAGCAAGAAAGTTTGGGGTTCAATCCCCGGTTCAGACCCAGGATCATTCTGTGTTGTGTTTGCCTGTTCTCATGTTTGTGAAGGTTTTCTCTGGGTACTCCGGGTTTTCCCCACAGACCAAAAACATGTACGTTCTGCTGCCCACGGGCCTGCCTTACAAGAGATCTGTGATCTGAACAGGATGTGCCTGTTTAAAAAAAGGTCAATTAATAAAAGAACAAACATGAGCTAAAAGCTAAATGAACTTAAAGGATATCTCAAAGAACATTTATCAATTTGCTAAAAAGCCTTAATCCTTTCATCCTGTTACGTGACCTGAAGTTTCCTCTTTTAAAAACGCCCTGAAAGGTGGTTGATCATGTAACTGGGCTGTGTGAGGATGTTGGTTATCTCCTGAATCACACGACGGACTTTAATGAAAATATGAATCAGATTCAAGATGGCCGCCACAGCTACTAAATACAAAATGTCAGTAACTCTGTTTTTTTTTTTTTTGACAAAACTGAGGTGAAATTTGTCGAGGTAGGATCATACATTACAATCTGTAAAAAGTGTGTTAAAACAAAATAAACACAAAGTATAAAAGAAACAGTGCCAGCCGAGTCATGGATTCAGGTTTTCTAATTCACAGGATTCTTTTTTTTCTCTTTTGTGAGTAAATGGAGGAAAAACCCTTGAATGAAAGCCAGGGATGGAGGAGGGAAGAAACRTGAGAGAGAAGAAATGCTTCCTTCTGCACATTTTTTTATGACTTGACKATGTTCCAAAAAGAAATTCTAGAGTCCAGTGTCTTGTGTAAGCTCATAAAAGTGTGGGAAAACACCAGCTTCTCCTCAGATGGCCTTTACCAGAGTACAGGACACACGATTAAAGAGTCCTCAGGAAACCTGGGTCTTAGAGGACTCAATTAAAGTAGATTTAAACCAAAGTGATTATGGAGAAATAAAAGCTGAATCCAATTATAGCACAAGGCGGCGGGCAGACGCCGTGATCTGAAATGAGGTGACTGAAGTCATTAAGCTGTAAACGTAGTAAGAACAGTCTGGATTTAAAAAAAAACATGGGCTAAAGCTGAACTAGCTAAAAAGGTCTAAAAGTAAAATGTGTTCTGAACTTGTGATGTAACAGATCCCTGAATTTAGCTTTAATGATATTTTATAATGCCATTTTTACAAAAAGTAATATAAAAAATGCAATGCTCAAAAGAGAGAAACCCGGACCTCCTTCTTCTCAGACCCTCTCCATCTCCGTCTGGAGGACCCCAAAGTGTTCCAGATAGGATCCTTCCAGAGTGTTCTGGGCCTCTTCCTCCATCGTAGCGGTCAGAGACCCATCCCTCCACCTGTTGCCCACCTTGGCTCACCCGCATCAAAGCCCACCTTAAAGTTTTGACCAATCGCGCAACACCTTATGCAATCCCCCTGGAGAAAAAAAGCTCCGYCCCCGACAAACCTTTGAGCACGGAATGTTTAGAGATGGGAACCAGTGGTGGGCAAAGTTCCCCTTAATCAGCTAGCAGCTAATAGCAGATTAGCTTCTCCACGAGCCAACTTTAAGTACGCTAACAGCGAACTAACAAACTAAGATCAACAGGTTTATCAGTCCAACCAGTCTTCATTTCAAAGGGGACCAAGGCTGCGTCTAAAACGGTGGGCCGGGTCCTCTGAAGGCCGAATTTGTCGGCCGCTTCTGTCACAGCGCTGTGACAGAGGCTGTCCAAATCCAAAGACTCCTTCGATGCGGCCGACAAATACGTCCTTCCTTTGGCCCGAATCGAAGGACTGGTCTGATGGATCCTTCCCGGCCCAGCATTTCCCATAAAGTCTTGTGGCGCGACGGGGGATATTTTAATGCKTGTAATGGCGGACGAAGCGAGAGAAAAGAACGTTTTAAATAAAAATATGGCGATATAAAAATTAAAAATTTCAAGTAGTTGTGTAGTTAATGCTTTTATCATTTGCATAGACATGTTTTCAAATATTATTTTAATCAGAAAAAAAATTTGCGAAATAGACATGCACCTACGGCGGGTCCAGTAGTTCTTCAAATATTACCTTTAAGTTAATTTTATTGTTTTGTGATGTTAATAACATTAAAATGTTTATATTTTTCTAATTTCGATATAATTTTGGTTAGCGTCGTCACTGTTGCTAGGCGATAACACGTATGCCGGGGTTAGGAYAGGAGGCTAAACCGTCAAAATTCACAGCCACTTTTTTTTTGGTCATCCTGGTCTGCCAAGGACCTGGCCAACCTTGACCGGGTAGGCTGGGTCCTTCGGAGGACCCAGCCTTGGACACAGCACCAAGACTGACAGTCCTCTTAGCTGTTAACAATTAGCTGTTAGTATTAGCTTCCTCTAACTTGGGTTTTGACAGCTTTAAGTATGTTAACAGCTAACTAACAAGCTAACATCCACAGTTCTGTGTCAATCCCACCAGTCTTCAGCTCAAAGGAGACCAAGACGTGACACAGATTGAGTGATAGTCGTCTTAGCTGTTAGCGGCTAATGTTAGATTCCGCTAATTTAGGTTTTGACAACTTGAAGGCTAACAGCTTTCAAGGCTAACAGACATTCGTCTTACCGTTTACAAATTAGCTGTTAGTTAGCTTTTGCTAAATTAGTTTTTATCAACTTGTGTGTGGCTAACAAATTGTGCTAACAAACAATCTAACATCAGCAGGTTTGTTTGAGTCCCACCAGTGTTCAGCCCAAACAAGACGAAGACGTTTTTCAATCCTCTTAGCGGTTAGCAATTAGCAGTTAGTGTTAGCGTTTGCTAATTTTTGAACATGTGACGCAGACTGACAGCCATATTGGCGGTTAGTAATTAGCTGTTTAGCATGAGCTTCTGATTAGCATTAGCGTACTTTATCAAATTCAAGTTAGCGAAGCTAAGTTTTTGGTTAGCGGTGGCCACCACTGCCCGGATTTTGCGGACCCATTAGTCGTATCGTTCCTTACGGTCGAAACCGTTCTTGGAGCTAACGTAAAAATAAAATCTACTGAGTTCAGACTGCTTTTTAAAAGCATCTCGAGCAGATGGCTGTGGGCTTTTGTGTGGGATTTAACTGCAGGTTGGAAACTTGAGGTGAAGACATGTTTATCATCATCATCATTATCATCGTTTATTTATAAAGCACAATAAAAACCAAAGTGCTGTACAGGTTCATAAAATAAAAACAACGAACAAAGTACAGTAATAAAATGAACAATAAAATCAAACAAAACAGCAAAGGTTGGCCTAATGAACCTGCTCTTCAGACTCAAATGCCTGTTTAAACAGATGAGTTTTTAACAGAGACTTGAACTCATTTAGAGTTTATGTTTGGTCATGTTTGTTTGTTTACTTTATTTCAATCGTGAATTGAAATATAAATACAAAACAAGTCATCCAATAATAATAATGAAAAAATCTAAATAAAAGAGACCTAATAAAACAAGAGACTTGAACTCATTTAGAGTTTGTTTGGTCATGTTTGTTTGTTTACTTTATTTCAATCGTGAATTGAAATATGAATACAAAACAAGTCATCCAATA